CATTATATCACCAAACTACTATCCTGCGCAGAAGTCAAAGCATATTATTTACCTATATTGCAACAATCTTTATAATCGGGCAATGCCACAAAAGTTGCCGATTGGTGGTCTCTTCTGGGTGCAACCAGAACAGTTTATAGAGAAAAAAAATAGCAGAGCGATGACGACAGTAATACATTTTGGAAGCTCAATTTGAGAATCCTCCTGGAATCAAGCTGCATAATGGCTATCTGCTGGAGCCAGAAAACATCACAGTAGATGATTCCATGCTAAATCAGAGTATTTTGTAAGTCGAACATGGTGTTGGTATTTCAATACAACAAACCTGATTCCAAATCACACACCATGTGATTCGTTATAAAAATCTGAAACAATGTTTGGATTCATTGCGTGCTAAGGTTTAGATAGCCACCTTAGTTGAAGACCTACACTGACCTACACAGCAAAGACAATGGAAAATATCAGACAGCGAATCAACGTTGATCTGTTAAGCAAACAAGAGCACACAAGCTGGCTGAGGCGCAAACTTTTACAGTTATGAAAACATTTGATGAAAACTGGTGGCGATCAATACAAAAAAAGATCTATTACGGTTTCACTGAAAGTGAGCTTTCAAAGTTTTTCACGTACAATTTCCATCATGGCAACGTCAAAAAATAAGGCAACAACGCCAAAGTGTTTTCTACCAATATAGATGCACTGAATTATGAGATTGAGACTCGCGTTGTCTATGCACATACGTTTGCCGCAAAGAACTATCAGAATTTCATATAACTACAGCATATGTTAGGATGCCGGCAACAAAAGAGGCTGTAGGCAAGTTAAAACAAATAAGTATCAGAAGAAACATGTATGATAATCGACTTTCAGACAACAGTATCAAAAATTGTACCAAATGATAAAAGCCGACAAAAACGTTGCCACACATGATAATTATCTGACAGATCTAGCTGGAGAAAACATGCAACACTAAATACAATTCACATTACTAGTCACGTTATGCATCAGGCTGAACTAAACAAAATATGAATTTTGCGTACGATGACACGCTCCATATCTTTGATGATGGCGTAAACGCCTTGACTTACGGTCTCTCCAGGATCAAACAAGATAACTCATAATTAATATTTGGTTAGCACCTAGATTTTTTTCCTGCTTTTGTTGTCGATGGTAATTTTTTTTTGTATGCCAGTTACAATGTTAGTCGCCATTATTTGGAGAGTCTAACCAAAACTGACTGCTAGCGCCACTTCTGATGTTGATCTCTATAGGAGTAATTGCTTCAGGGTTAGTGATGCTGTAATTAGTTTTGTTGTTGTTAATATGGTGGATGACTGAGCCATCTGGAATAATCCGAATGAAGCATTCGTATGAATATCATTGTTGGCTGTCCGGCGAGAATGCTTTGAAGACGAACATGCCTCACGTATCTGTTCTAGTTTGTCTTGTAGTTATCGTTTCTTAACATAAACTATCTTAACATGCACTAACATGAATATGTCATCTGAAGGCTGCGAGGGTTACTGTCTCGAAAAAGCGAGGTACGATGCTAGGGGCCACAACCTTTGCACTCAAACTGTTTTACTCCTATTCTATGTTCCAACGTCATCAAGTACTTATTCATTTCCATATCTGATTATAGAAATTACATATTGCGAAACAAATGTGTTGCGTGATTGACTATTGGGATAAACATTTAGGTCAGGAGTAGGCAATCTACGACACGCATACCACAAGGTGGAACGACAAAAGCTTTTGTGTCGCACGCGAAGGGCAGCCAAAAATCTCGATTTTAACAAGTGTTACTCTCTTACTGGTGGCACGCACTCGTTCATTTTGTAATTAATCCGGAAAATGTGGCACGCTATGTAACTTATCAACTTGCCCACGATATCATAAGAATTACCTTTCCAGGGTTAGTTACATAATTATTTTTTAAATATGCTTTCAAATTTTCAGATCCCGATTTGCAGGTTTTACAGGATGAATTGAAAACAAATCCAAAACGAAAAGCCAGGATACTTTCACCCAATAATGTCTACGCCCTTGATATTGAAAAAGTCGTCTTTGAAAAACTAAACAAAGAAAAAACAAGAATACCTGCTATAACCTAACAAAGCCAAAACTAACCAGTAAATATCAACATCAATATATTTATCCGATATAATACGCACTAACTCGTAGTGGCAAATTCAGTAAGTTTATTTGTGATTTTGATGGTGTTTTTTTTTTGTTTGTTTGTTTGTTTATTTTCTTTTTTCATTTTTTTTTTTTGTTTTGTCCCCAAAACAGTCAAAGATTTGGAATTCGTTACAACAAAATATTACTCAGAACTGCCGAATCTTCAGAAGAGAAAATGTAGAGATTTTCAAAATTAGTACATACAATTTGTTTCTAAAATAGATTTCTGGTGTAAAGTTTGCCGTTTGCATAGATGTCATCGACATGTAGCACCGAACAAATCAAGATCAAGAGACAATGACCAAGCGGAGTTAGTTTCCGAGATGCACATTGGAAATAAGGCCCGTCCATATCCTCCATAATGCCCCCATAAATTATACACTAAAGTAATGGGGACTGAAAGTCATTTGCACAATTCCTAAGATATACATGTATACAAGATTTTTTTTAAGTAACCAAAATAATAAAAAATTCATGCGAAATTCTATTCCACAGAAATGAAGCCCTGTGCGAGGTACAAAAGTAGAATGGACCCCTAAGTCAATATGGGATAGAAGACTATGCGAAAGAACTACTTTACCTCTGACGCCGAAGGACAATGGAAGTGATCCAATTAGTATAGAAAATTTTATGTTCTTAAAAACAAAAAAAAAATCACGTTAAAATTTTTACGAAGAATTTGCGATCAACATATAACTTGAATTTAGCAAATCGCTACAACACAGTCATGGGATCAAGTGTGAAGAACTGTTTTGTTCCATTCGTAACATATTTGTTTCTAGAGCTGGTCGGCATAAGGTAAATATATAAAACTGTATAGTTAACTAATCGATAGAGGAGGCGCTTAGTAAATGGCGAGTGTGGCAAGGTTTCTGGTGGCGCTACCTATTGGATACTGGAAGAAGTAACTGACTTCGATCCCTCATTTTTTAATCAACACAAGCTGAAAGACGGACTGGCTAATCGGCAAGAAAAACCGAGATTGATCCTTGGTGAACACGAAAAATGCTGAACTACGACAAACATTGTCACACCTACTAGCACATATAGCGATGCAAAATTCCGAGACAAGCAACGAAAACACTTTTATCCACGATCGACAGACTTAAATGATGGGTATCATATAAAGAAAAATATAATTAAAAAAAATATTCTCAAACTTAATTATTCTGCTAATATAAAATACAGCATTCACGCTCGAGTATAAAAAACAACAAAGTAAACTATTTAACAATAATAACTGGAAAGTAGGTTGAATATACCTTCCGGCAGTAGCAAGTTACGAGCAGATTTTCCATTCTTTGTTTCTGCACTTATCCCTTACTTATCTTTTTAACACGTCAGTTGCAGAATCAAACAACACCCTAATGAAGTGAAGCCGCTATATTCGTAAACTAATTGTTTATACCATGATAAACAGAAAACACATTAAATCTTATAATTTAAATTTTTATCCGTTTTAACTTTTATTTTCTTTTTTATAAAAATATTCAGCATTTTTGGAGTTTTCATCAGGGTTTGCACACCTCATCCACCGAAAAACATTTTGCGGGCGGCCCTAACAGTATACAGATCAGAAGAATATTACAAGGTCCATAAAACACCAAATAAAAGGACACTCATTTGCCAACAATCTAAGCATGCTAATAGGAAACAAAACTAAAGGACACTAATTTATCAACTTGTTACGGATGATAACAGGAAACAAACTAAAGGATGCTATTCTATCAGCTATCTACGGATCCTAACAGGATACAAAACTAAAGGACACTATTTTGTCAACTATCTACCGGTTTTAACGGGAAACAGAACGCCAATAAACGCTTTATCTTGCTTGCTCACCAGTATACGAACCCAAAAGCAAGGTTAGCTATTTTATAATCAAGTCACCGTGATCTACTTATGATTCTTAACAGGATTTCTCAAAATCATTGTAACCATTAGGTTTCAGGAGCTAGTGGTTTGTTTTGTGGGTTTTTCCCTTCTTTTCATTCTTACTTTTTCTACATTTAGGTCAAACAAAAAAAAATACGGGTAGATGTATATAGTCTAGTCGCAGCAAAATGCCAATCCTAACTGTACTGAAATATCTTCTCTAATCATCAGAAAGCAGCAAAAATTATTTGAATTTTCCCATTTTTGCTGTACTCAAGCCAAAATGTGACATTTTCCATTTTCACACGGACAATTTTGACCCTTGGCACAACCATATAGAGCTTAGATGTGTATCAATTTGTGAATCGGCACCCTGTTGCTTTATAAAACGAAACTATTTATAACTTTTAAACGGTGGAAAATATCGTACATAAAGCAGATAAAAAGAATGATAATGATAATCAGATATACTCATTTTATTGTGAAATGTTACAACAAAATGGCAAATATCAGGAGAGATAACCATTCGGAGCATAACGAGTTTCGCTAAGGATTAAATTTTGACTTGTGACAAGATAACGTTCCGTTATCAAGTCCAAAGGCCGAAAGATCGATTGTATACCAACTATTCTTAGACACTAGGAGTAAAACGCATTTCACAGGCTTCTTAGAGCAAACGCCCTCTACCCCCTCCACCACCACAACAACAATGCTAATCTTTGGGTATGCTTAAGTTTTGTATTCTAACTTAACAAATCCACACACACACACACACACACACACACACACACACACACACACACTATTGAAACCACAAAAATGTCAAACAAGATGGACACAATTATGATTATTTTTCAGAAAAATGTGACTGTTTGGTCTACGCTCTTCTAAAGAACAAATCACAAACGATTCTCCAAATAAAACAAGATGAATATAACCGCTCCGGTGGTCTAGTGGTTAGAGCATCCGCTTCGGATGCAGGAGGTCGTGGGTTCGATCTCCGGTACTTATACCAAAGACTTACAAAAATGGTACTAACAACTGCCTCGCTTGACGCTCAGCATTAGGAGGTTAGTGTTAGGCCTGGTCGGCCAGGTGTCAGGGTATTGTGACTGGGTGGGACATCATGCTACATGTCTGCGGCATGATGCCCCAGTGCTAGACATCACTATAAACTGCCACACAGCAAACATCGTAGTGATATGACTGAAAGATTGTTAAAGGTACGTTAAAAATCATAAACAACACCACCACCAAGATGAATATTCTTGCATGTTGTTATGCTAACAATAGAGAAAACCAATCTTCTAGTTCTTAGTGAATCAAGATGAAAATGAATATTAGCTTTATAATGGTGTTATGTACATTTAACGTAATTGCTTGTTAGTTATTTTGTTTTATTATTTTCCTTACATGCAATTGTAATGTAACATTGTATGTTGGACTTTACCTTGTCGAAAACCGAGTTCACTTTTGCTTAACCCAAATTTACTTTTTATAGCTTATTCATTGTAAACAATACATAGCTAAATTATTCTCTATATGTATGGGTTTTAAATCTGTATTATTATTATTAATAGATCTTGGTAATATGTCATGTTAAGATGTGGCTTCTAGAGAGGCAACAAGCCAATCAGATGCAAGTTAACCTCATTAGTATGCATATCTTGCTCATCAATGAAACTTTTCCTCTACCAGATAAGATTGGCACCATACTCACGGTCATTGAGGTTATTTCCTGAGGCCCATCAATGACACTCAGAATTTCGTAAAATAATTAATAATGCAAACATTTATTCTTCACAGCCAACCAATTTTGATAAAAATGTTATTTTAACATTATTTACTACTTGCTTCCCATACATGTATTTCAAAATGTTACTTTTTATGAGCTACCTTAGCTTAGGAAAATGCAGCCATAGTACCAAAGTACAAGTTCTCATGTGACCCTCATGGTGACTTGAGACCCTAATATAGTCTATCATGTGCTGAAAAATGGCATCAAATCCACAACATCACTGACGTGGAAATCTTGATGAAATAAGAAATATGGCTTACCTGGTGCTAACAAGGTCAGCCAATGCGTGGATGTTCTTAGTGAACCCATCATGATAAAAGTTCATATTTTGAGTCTGATCAGGAATGAATCACAAATAGAGATTTTCAACAATGTAAAAAGCTCTGCCAGTCGTATGCAATGTTAATCATTATTATGCATTCATCCTACTCATCTGAGATCTTAATAATATAAGAATATAACCCAAATTTTGATCAAAATCAGATTAAAAGTAATGCATCCAGACTGTTAATAAGGTTTGCCAATTAGGTGCAATATCACATCATTATTAAGCATAAATCTGGTTCACTAAATGCAAAAAGATTGTGATGATCAAGTTTAAAAGAAATGTGAACATGAAAATAAAATAAAAATATTTTAAAAAATTGTGAAGCTGACACGAGTTTCAAAATCATCTTATTTGGCATACAGAATACACAAAAAGGATAAACAAATGTGGATGTTTATGTACAAGATCCATTCAAACTTAGGAATTTATTTTTGTCATTTTTAGCTTAACAACTAAATTTTATAATAATAATATAAAAAATAACTGTCAACAGTGATACACGAATAAGTGGGGAGTGCTTTGCAATATTTCTTGAATAAATGTTCACACCTCTATCAAGGCCTCACTCATGAGAAATCACCAACACAAAAATGAACATCATTCAAGTGGATGAAGCAATGCTTTCATTGTAAAGATAATATTTTCATGTCCAATATTATCAGAAGTAACGTATTTCAATTGGAAAGGCTATATTACTTTGATTTAGGAACTGCTCTAGTGGCCTAGTGGTAAGAGCGTCCACCTCTGATGTGGGATATCATGGGTTCGATCCCTGGTTGAGTCATACCAAAGACTTACAAAAATGGACTAACAGTTGCCTCGTTTGACGCTCAGATTTAAGAGTTTAGTGATAGGACTTGTCGGCCTGGTGTCAGGATAATGTGACTGGGTGGGACATTATGCTACATGTCTGCTGCATGATGCCGATGTGCTAGACATCACTCTAAACTGCCACACTACAGACATCATAGTGATGCAACTTAAAAATTTTATAGCTACATTAAAAATCATAATCATAATCACATCACTTTGATTTCGGATGCAGGAGTTAGGTGTGATTTCAAACACTGTGAACAGTGCCACTGTCACTTTTCTATCAGACTAAAACTACACAATTTTATCACTGAGACAAATGTGTAATCATGGGATACTACCATATGTACTCACTTATAAGTCAGGTCTACCTGCAAACTGTACAGATCCAGATATGCCACTGCAACATGAGCTGGCAGATCTGGGTCTAAGCAAATTGTTACAAGTAATCAGCAACACAAAAAAAATAAACAGACCTAGATTTGCAGGTACATTAAGAAAGGCAGATTAGAATCTTTTATTGTTTGTAGTTTGGCTTGACTTGAAAGTAAATATGGTATGAAACACCTCATAGTCAACTCAATTACAACCATATCTACTTTATTTTCAACATTACACCACAATAAGTATTATCAATGTAAAGAGCATGATGCTGAAGGTTTACATAGTTTACAATAAACAATATGATTCCATTTTAATCAAATTATTAGAACCTGCAGCTTTTCTTATCTACCCCTTCAGCAAATGAAGAACTGACAGCTATTATAATGTTTCTTTATTGACAGGATTAATTTTGCATGGCTTGTCTTTGACAGATTAAGTTTGTATGATTATACATATCTTTTTTGACAGGATTTAGTTTGCATGACTTGTCTTTGTTGACAGGATTAAGTTGCATGACAGGTCATTGTTGACAGGATTAAGTTTGTATAACAGGTCTTTGTTGACAGGATTAAGTTTGTATGACATGTCTTTGCTGACAGGATTAAGTTTGTATGACATGTCTTTGTTGACAAGATTAAGTTTGCATGACAGGTCTTTGTTGACAGGATTGTTTGAATGACATGTCCTTGTTAAATATCTCTTAGATTCACTAGGATCATCATGATCACATTTCCAGCTATTATGTATATGTACATGATGAAAAAATCAATAATATCAATATTGCCAGGACTTGTGCATATAATACACCTAAAATCCATGCAATGCTTTATAAACCTGTAATGACATTACTTTCAAACTTTGTTAACAACTGTGTTTTGAAGATAAATAATGTAGTTTAAAGCAAAATATTCAGAATTATTTGTAAACCAGCCTGGCATAAACCTGTGTAAGTTTCACTACAATCAATTCTTTTCAAATTTTTGCTTTTTCCAGGTTTTTAAATTTGTATATACTCTAACATACCTGACAGCCTTGCTTGGAAACAGTGGTAGTGGGGAGATTGGTAAAGCAAGTTTTGGTGACTTAGCATTGACAAATATTACCATCACCATATACTCACATAATCAGAGCTATGGGCAATTAAAAAAAAACAAAAAAACCCCACAAACTTGGTATAAAAATCCACTTTACATTGTTATTACATATTTTACCGGATGCAGTCTTTGCTGCTCTCAATAGTTCAGTGGAGTGGAGAGAGAGAGAGAAACAAGTGTTTTTGTCATCTATACATTAGAAGGAGTGTCAAACAAGCAATGACCACACTAGTTATAATGTTTAAATATATTAGTTACATTATCCCAAAATGGGGGTGTTATTGCGTCAACAATTGTTTTAAACTATATTGAGTTGGTGCTTTCAGTATGTGCAAAGAATAAAATGCTTTCCCTTGAGCTTGCAGATTTAAGTCAAACTCAATTAACAAGGTGTTACAAAACCTTTTGATGGGCTCATCACTCTCTGAATCATAGCTATGTTATGACATATTGCCATAAAAAATGAACTGCTGAACAGCACTTCCACACTATTTTAAAAGCACTGATAATCATGTTTTATATGTTAAAAAATTACAGAAAATAATTTAACTTCAAAAAAAATGTTGCCACTGATTGTAAACTAGCCAACAGACTTGAATCAAAATGGCTTCAACATTATAATTTAAGGCAGCTAAGAGCATGGGTTGTACTTAACTATACAAGTTGGTTTGATGGGCTCTCCTACAGCAGCGCTCAACACAACATCACACTTGCTATTTTTAGTCAGTTAAGTAATCTGAACAGTACAACAAACACTATCACATTAATGGCAAATGACCCCTAAACAAAACTGAACAATACAAGCATTACCACAATAATGGCAAATGACCCCTAAACTAAACTGAACAATACAACAAGCATTACCACAATAATTGCAAATGACCCCTAAACAAAACTGAATACAACAAGCATTACCACAATAATTGCAAATGACCCCTAAACAAAACTGAACAATACAACAAGCATTAACACAATAATTGCAAATGACCCCTAAACAAAACTGAATACAACAAGCATTATCACAATAATTGCAAATGACCCCTAAACTAAACTGAACAATACAACAAGCATTACCACAATAATTGCAAATGACCCCTAAACAAAACTGAATACAACAAGCATTACCACAATAATTGCAAATGACCCCTAAACAAAACTGAACAATACAACAAGCATTACCACAATAATTGCAAATGACCCCTAAACAAAACTGAACAATACAACAAGCATTACCACAATAATTGCAAATGACCCCTAAACTAAACTGAACAATACAACAAGCATTACCACAATAATTGCAAATGACCCCTAAACAAAACTGAATACAACAAGCATTACCACAATAATTGCAAATGACCCCTAAACAAAACTGAACAATAAAACAAGCATTACCACAATAATTGCAAATGACCCCTAAACAAAACTGAATACAACAAGCATTATCACAATAATTGCAAATGACCCCTAAACAATACTAAACAATACAAGCATTACCACAATAATTGCAAATGACCCCTAAACAACATTGAATATGCAATTATACATCAACTGACTTAAAGAGTTTCATGGCTGTAGAAAATTCTGCTTAATTATTACAATTAATGAAACAAACTTTAACTGGGGTTGGAGGGACCAACATATCTAAAGTGGAGGCTGAAAGACCTCCATTTTTCCTGCAATAAACCCATTTCTGAAAATATGATTGACTTCTCCTGGTTTGGAACAAACTTTTCTTATTCCACACATTTTCCCCAGTTCTCCGATGGTGTGAAATCCATGCACAGTCTTGTTTTCTATTATCACACACACACACACACACACACACCTTGTCACAGTGTCTATCAAGTATACATATTACATATATGAATCGGACAAAAAATTTGGATGAACATTATTTATTTCCATTCTCAGGAATGTACAATTACTTGTTAGATATATTTTCCTTCTCTTCATTAGCTGGACACATCTCCCATCAGTCATATACAAATAAAAAGTATCACAACTTTGGGAATAAATCAAGAAAGCTTTATTTTAATTTTGCCAAAATTGTTTTTCTTGCAGCCTTCTTCTACATGTTTACTTGTATCTACAAATATTGCTACATACTCTTTTTTTTCTCATCACCCCTTGTTTTTTTTTAAAATTAAATTATTTCTGAGTTACCAATTAAATGAACACATTATGAAAATTATTGAATTCTTTACAAAGAAAACTACTTGAAGTAGTTATGATTTGACTGCTATGTTCTGTGGGACATTAAATACCGGTAATCACAGATCAAGAAAAGCATCAACTGTACATTAAGAGTAAGAAAGAAAAACATTTACTGGCACTCAGACTTATAACAGAAACTTGAAAAAAAATGTAAGAGTTCCACTTTTACAGCAAAGGAAGTCTAACTCCAGAATGATAAAAACAAACAAAAGAAAAAATACAAGCCCTCAAGGTAACTCAAAATCAACATGGTGAAAAATATTCAAGACCATTTTTCCCTTTTAACTGTCAAGTGTTGAATCCATCTCTAATATTTTCCAGCAATAAGATTTTCAAAGGACCATTATGGTCATTAATTCTTCTAGAGTAGTGAGAACAAGATATTAATACAGTCATCATGGCAGCCATATTTGATGAACGACTGGCACTATTTTCATTTGGATTAACTAGGTATTATAAAATGGTCTATTGCTGAAAACCACAAGTTGACAGAGTGCCAATTGGATATGAATAGAAATAATAATTTCAAGATGGCTGTTGAAGTGGCCATAATGGACATCAGATTATCAACAATTTTATTTAGGACCAACAGGATATCATAAAATGCCTTCTGGTGGAAACCCCATATCAATACAACTTTTCTGTTCAAGTAGAGTTTTGAAAACAAGGTTTTTAAGATGGCTGCTAATATGGCCATAATGAATGTCAGATTGACATTAGTCATATTCAGGACCAGGTAGACTTCATCTGTTAGTGAAAATCCCATAACGATATTACTATCCATTCAGAAGCAGTGATAACAACATTTTCAAGGTCTGCCATTGAGGCCACTTGGACATTAGATTGGAACCATTTTCATAAAGCACCAACCAGACATCATAGGTCTTAAAATGCTAATATGACCATACATTCAGAAGTGACACAATTTTCAAGATTGCTGCTGTATTGGAAGTTAGATCATGATCATTTGCATTTAGGATCAGAAAGACATTATCATGAAAAGTTTTCTATTGAAAACCATGTAGATATGACAATCCATTCAGGAGTAGTAGTGATAACAATTGGATGTCCAAACACCCACATTTGTTTTGGATCAACTAGACCACGGGTTAAATGTGTGAGTAAAGTTTAAAGACAACCCTACACGAAGTTTAGGATGAGTAGCAATAACTTGTATGAATTCTTCTGATGTAGATCAGTCAAGCTAGACACCACCACCACAACCCAACATCATTTACATGCGGAATTCATTTATGTTTGCACAAAACTCCAATATGGT